TATAATATTATGCATAATTATATATGTATATAATTAATTATTGATATGAACTTCAGTTCCGTAACACATTTTAGGCACACAAAAAAAAAAAAAAAAAAAAAAAAAAAAAGAGTTGAGATTTAATGCAGAAGATAAGAATTGTTAAACTATATATTTTAGTGCTATATGAATTAATAATAGCGGGGAATTTAGAGAACTTTTCACTAATGTCAGCTTAAGTAACTTAATGAAATATTGATGCAGATCACTTTGAAACTAAAACCAAAGTCGAGCTGATGGACTTTGCTTTTAGAGAGAGAGAAGAGGAGAGACCGCAATTTGCACATTGAACTCCATTTGGAACATTTGCTAGGATTGTTAGGTCTCGTTTGCTACGACCTTAATAGGTAGCACACAGAATATATAACCTTAATTAAATAGAGGTATGTATGAGAAGAAATGTAGTTAAGATATGAAAAGAGATATTATATATTAACAACAAATATACGATTATCCAAATACAAATTTATTAACTATTTTAGAAAATATTTAATTTGAATTGCAATGCTTAGGCCTATCTTGTATGCAGTAGAAGATGATCTCCGATTATTACGATTCCTATAATATAAATAACGGATATAAGCCGAAAAAGTATAGAATAGAATATACAAGAAATGTTAACCCTCTAGCTAGAAGGTTTATTTTATTTCAAATTTAGCATTGCACATGATAAACTCTTTTCCTTACCTAAGCGAGTAAAATAACTGATAAATATGGACAGCTAGCCAAGCATGAAACTTTATACTTTTTGCATAGGATTCTGTCGATTCTGGCATAATGCGAAGCACTGCAATATTTTACAGCACAATTCACTTTGTGGCAGTCAACGAGGATGATTCGTTCTCTGTTCTCTGCTTTGCATCGTTCGATTCAATTGGCAAAAGTTTTTTATTTCTGGAGAATTGGCATTGTGATGGGTGCACATGAGTCTAGCAAAGCTACTGCTGGCAGGGCATTGAGACGCCAGCTGGCTGTCAGGCTGTGTCTGTGCTTTATATCATTGCCTGGGCTGGTCTGCTCCTAGGTCAACGCAAGTCAACGACACTGGCCAGAGCAAGACAAAGATTGAGATTGAGATTGAGATTGAGAGGGAGAGAGCGGGTGCGAGTGAGAGGCAGAGAGAGGGGCCAACGACAGCTTGCTGTGTTTATAATAAAAAGTACTTCAATTACTTTGTGCAATTTACAACTGTGTAACTGCGTGAGATAAACGGAATAAGCCCGGGCCCAGGCATAGGTGGGGGATGGGGGATGGGAGGCAACCCTTCTGGCATCCTTCACATAAGCGAGCTTTTCTTTATGTTTCGTGCATTTTTGTTTTTGTTTTTGCGAGTATCTTCGCTTTGTTTTATTATCCATTTTGCGCTCCCCTCGCTGACTGCCCTATAATTTATTTATGCATGTGTTTTATTATTAAAGATTTCCCATATATCGCTCGGCTGCGACGCGTTAGCGTTGGCGTTGCCGTTGACGTTGTCGCTGGCGTCCATCCACAGGCCACTGCGGGCTGCTTGTTGACAAAGAAATTACTTATTAATCATATTTGAGCGGTGATTTTACGTCATCACGGAGTCAACAGCTGTTGGCGGCTTCTCATTATCCTTTATCCTTTACGCCCTCCCCTTTACCCTTTGCCCTTTGCCTGTGGCTCTGTAATCTGTAGTCTGCTGAGAAGTTGCCGCTTTGACAGATTTCCCGCACAATGTAGACCCAATTACAGCTGCTCTCGAGACAAGCAGTATAATCAGCGATGTATCTACTTTCATATATACACAGTCAGCCAAAGTATTCGTATCTGTATCTGTATATCTATCTGTTTCCACACAGATGCAGATATATGTATGTCGTCTTGCTGCTTGGGCTTCTAGTTGCGTCGAGAGACCAGAAAGACATTTGTCGAGCATTAATTTTAGAATATTTCATGTCTTGCGTTTATTCGGCGCTTTGTTTGCACAGCGAGGCACTTGTCTTTCATATATCTCTCGGCCGATTTTACAGGAAGTCCGTCGCACTGCTATAGTGCCGCATCGGTTTGATGAATGAAAAACTAGCTACACTCACGATAGTTTTGCCAAACGCCCAGACACCCTGTACCCAAGTGCAACTCAGCGCTCAGCTGTCGAACGCCGGGCAAGGCAAATGCCGCTGGGCCAAACGGCCAGACAGTCAGAGACCGTAAAAACGGCAGCCACAGCAGGAGGAGTGGCCGCAGGAGGAGTGACAGCAGCAGCAGATGCAGAGCAACAATAGACACGAGCAATGGCCTAGTCCCAGTCGAACTCCCAATCCCCAACAGGCTGTTTATAATATGTAGTTTTACTTTCAAATGCCCTAGGTATGAAGTCGAAAAACTAAAAAATGATATGTTAAGTATAGCATAAGTCTTATATCAGAAAATATGAAAATTGATGAATAAGTATTTAAATAATAATATCTTATTTTAGGGAAATATACATTTTAAAGAAAGAAATTTAGGAATAAAAATATACAACAAGAAAAATAAATTATTATTTGTTTAGCCTATTTTTAGAAGCTACTAAGACTGGCTTAGTAGAGTACTTTTAATATAATAT